TCAATCACACCTCACCCAAGTTTATGTGTCACGTCCGAACTGACCTCAAAGCAGGAAAGCATTGACAATAAACATTTGAAATCAATGCTTGAAGCAGAAAACAAAGATAAAGAAATACGAGATCGTTCTAATTTCTATCTTCGTGGAAAGTTTTATTGAACAATTGATATTATTTTAAGGAAATTTGTTCATAGTTCTTATTTCAACGCGCATTTTATGAAAACTTTTACGATTAATGAATAAAAATTTCAAATTCTTTGACTAGATTTTTTTTAATTTTTTAAATATTCGTTTATTGTAAATTAATATTAAAATCCATCAGAAGTGTATTAAATGAAAAGATTATTACAAACCAAAAACAAATATTACGTTAAAAGATTAAGAAGAAGTAAAACTGTGAAACAAAAAAAAGAAAAATGAATATGATTAAAGTATACTTGATATGAATAAAATTTTCGATGTGTCCTCGTCTCATAAACCGATAAATGAATAAAAAGACGATTAAAATAACATGAAAAAGTAAAACAAGTAATAAATTGACACAGGAAAACAAATTGAAGATCATGTGTGAAGAATAATAATACGTAGACATGTAAATCAGTAAAATTAGACAACGATACAGAACATGAAATGGTTTTTAGATAATAAGAACCTTCAAGAAGCTGAAAAAATTTCTCATCTCTATAAAACTTTAGTTTTGATCATTTTGAGTTTTAGAAGAGTTTCGTAAAGGTGGATATTTATGTGTAGAACTTTGCGTGACAGCATCTGTACTGATTTGCGAGGGGACGCTCAATGAATTTCTTCAAAAAAAATATTAGATTCGAGGGCATTTTTCCTTTCTTATTCTAGATTCTACACCACTGATATGACTTTTTCCAAATGTGTTGTTATATGCTCTAGCGAGAACTTCTCTTTTTGATTTTCCTGCAACATTGTTTAAAACTTCTTCAGTCACTAAATCTGTTAACATATCTAAGCCTGAACTAGAGTTCATATCTAACATTTGGCATTGTTCACGTGTTCGATTTGCAACTTCTCGAAATTTTTCTTTCGCTCGCTTTTCTACAAAAAAAGTATGTACTGAAATCTTATTTTATATCAATTTTGTTAATTCATCTTCATAATAGGTTGCTTGAGCAAATTTAGCTTTTTTCAGTGGTTTTGTTCTAAATGATTTCTCTTCGTATTAACCTTGTCCTTCGTATTTGAAGATGCATCACCTATACGTAAATTATGTGGCTTTGTTTCCCAAGAAGAACTTTGAAGAGTTTTATCTTCTAGACTATTATAATTTCGGTAGACAAAAAACTGAATTTGAAATGAATTAGAATTGATTTCATGATCTTTAAGAATTTCTGAAGTACGTTCAAACATAATGTCTACTGTATTTTTACATTTATGCAATAAATGAAACATTGAACATGTTGCATTCATGGTACAAACAGTTCGTGAATGTGAAATATCTTCAGCTTCTTTATTTTCTTCAACTAAAAATATCCTAATTGCATTTATATCTCCAAAATGAAGACTTAATAAAAAAAATTGTGAAATCTCATGTCTTTCTTTTGCTTGTTCAACATATTTTATAATCGCTTCATATTGAGTTTGAAATAAATAGGTACCGTGTATTATGGAGAAAATCATAGATTGTCTCATATGTTTTTTTTACTTTTAAGGGCATCCGTAAAAGTACTACTAATACGACTTAGTAATCCTTTACCTTTTCTAACGTCTTCAATATGTACTTTTTCTATGTGAAATTTCTCAAGGCCACGATCAAGTAGAATCATGCTATATAATTCCTGATCACCTTGTCTTGCAATTCTACATATTATTTGCTTTTCTTCTGAAAATTCTTCTGACAAAAATGTTTAAATAACATGTGAACCACTATTTGTTGTAACAGTTTGGTCATGACGCACAAAATCAGTTCCTCGACTAAAAGTTCTCGTAAATAAAGTTATTTGATCAGATGAAGTTTTTTCTTCTAATGACGCTTCTTCTGTTAGATAGACAATCGACTCTTTAATTCGTGTCCCAGCATCAGAATTATAAAATTCCTTTAATTTTTGTTTTGATTCAAAAGAAAATAAAACAGCGCGTTTTTCAGCATTTTTTCCTACTAGTCTATCATCAATTTCTCTCCTCATCTGATTAAAATAATCTGAACTATTCTCAATCATAATATCATCTTTTTCGATAAATTTAAGATTATTTCAGTTTTGCAATAACAGATGGAATATATGTACTTTTCATGATTGTATAATTATTTTGTATGACTTTTTTCTCAGGATCACTTAGAGTTTCTAATGTACCTGTAACACCCATTATAAATTTAAATTGAAGAAGTATTTCAGCATACGAAAAGCTTCCACAGTTAATTCTTATACTTATATTTTTGAATAGACTTTCTTTACTTATCTTACCTTTCTTATGTTCAAGGTAATATGCAAATAAAGTTTTATATCCATAGACAATGTTGTACACAACATTATCTTGTTCAATATATTCAATTTATCCTGATTAACAACATCGTCATGAAATTCGAAATTATTGACGTCCGAAAGCATATCTTTTACAGCTTCTTGAAATCACTGGTTCCCAATTCGGAAATCTGTCACAGCAAGCTTTATATTCAACCACAACTTGTACTTTATTCAGGTTTAATCTGGACTTTCTCTGAGTCCAAATAAGATTTTTTTACTTTTGCTTTTTTTTCATAATTACAGAAATGAGTGTGGAAATAATGAGAGTACGTCGAGCTCATATTCTGGAACGTGAAGAATTGAATTTTCGTCGCTGTTTTCCAGTTACTTGAGGCATTTCTAGATGGTTGAAACATGTGGTACTAAACGTTTGGACCTGTATACAAACTTTACCACAAAATTGTTATCTAACCACTGGTTNCTGATTCCTAAATATGTTAAAGGCGGGTTGTTCAAAGAGAAGCACTCCGTTCACGGGTGTGGGTGTGTACATTGATCATTAATGCATCCACACCCTCTAATAGTTAGGCTTTTGAAGATGTGTATAGTGAGAAGGCAACTGTACATTGTTTCAATAAATCAACCAACGTTTATTTGTTATCATAATTAAACTATATATTGTCTTTTTCACTGAGATATATGAACTGTTTTTTATTCATTTGATTGATGATTGGGATGAAGTACATTGGTCTCGGTGCTATTAGTTGAAGACTACTTGTATTTACACGAACAAATGCAATATTCATTGTGTTGTACTGTCTATTACCTCCGCATTAATCCCTTATTACGCTAAGGAAAAATTCTCAATAGACCAATTCATTTAAATCAAAAATTCCATAAATATCAATGCGTAAAATAATTCATTATTTTTGCCATTTTTCATGAGAAAATTCTATATGTTCGAAAACTAATAATCGGAGAACAGGGATATTTGTGCACGAGTGAAACTGCTTGATTGATTTCAATTCTAATGTTTTCGTTTTTCTTAAATGATCTCAACATTTATAAGTAAAATTAGTTAAATTGAAGAAGAAAAAAGAATTGCAAATTATCGTATATGAATAGCATAGTATTGAACACAAAAACTTAGATCATTTTAAAAATCCATAACAAAAAGTGATCATAATAAAGTCCGCTATTTTCGACTACATTTTACTTATAAGAAAATAGCACTTTTCTCATTCGCTTTTAAATAGAATCCCAAGCTTGCTATGTAATTAAGGATAGCATGCAAGATAATTTTTTTTCTCACAGTAGTCTACTTTGATCATTTTGGAAACTTTGAAATAAAAAAAAATATGCAATTTGTTGCATAATCTATCTTAATAGAAATAATAAATGATTCACATGAAGACGAATATTGGAGTTGGAATCAATATTTTGCTTACTTTGCAGGAAAAATATAACACTGATCGTATGACTGATAATCACATGATACATGAATAATTGGAATGAATAACACATGTGCAAAGATGATTGTTCTTGACTCTCTCGGGTCAAATATTGGACTTCCCCTTACATACAGTCACTACATCTAAACATAGTTATGTAAAAGAGAC